GTGTACCGAGTGTGTACCTAGTGTCTGCAGAGGCCGGAAAAGGCCATTGAATGGATCCCCTGGAACTGGAGTTAAGGAGAGTTGGTAGCCACCATGTGAGTGCTATGAACCCAGGTCCTCTGTGAGAACAGCTAATGCTCGTAACACTGAGCCTCTCTGCAGCCCTTATGTAAAGGATGTTAAATAAATATACTTATTGTATGGCAGTTTGCAAAGGCAAAATTGCTGGTGATTATCTTTCTCAAAAAAAAAAAAAAACTAAAAATGCAAAACCATGATGTTTAAAAGAAGTTTACATATTCCATTACAGTTTGAGGAACTATTTCAAAGGAAAATATTTAAAAATTTATTTTAAAAATATTTACTTTATAAATAACCCACAACTACTTGACTTAGTTTATTATTTAGTAGTTAAAAGTCATCTGCCAAGGAAAAATTATACAGTAAACAGTCCAAAGCCCCAAATTATTTCAGTATAACTGGGTTTTTTAAGTTTATATTTAAGAAATTACCAAAACTAGTACTTTTGTGCTAATGTAATAGATATCCATAGTAAAATTCAGTTGAGGCCTGCAAAATCTTTTTGCTGGTTTGCATAAACTCAAAAAAGGTCATGATTTTTTCTTTTTTTTTTGGTCTTTTTGAGACAGGGTCTCCCTGTAGCCCCAGCTGTCCTAGAACTCACTATGTAGACCAGACTGGCCTTGAGCTCACAGAGATCCACCTGCCTCTGCCTCCCGAGTGCTAGGATTAAGGCGTGCACCACCATGCCCGACTAGGCCATGATTTTTAAAACCCTGAAATTTTATTTATTTTTATTTATTTACTTATTTCCATTTTTGGTCTTTTTTGAGACAAGGTCTCTCTAGTCCCAGCTGGCCTGGAACTCACTATGTAGATCAGGCTGGCCTTAACTCAGAAGAGATCCTCTTGCCTCTGCCTCCCAAGTGCTCAGATTAAATGCATGTGCCAGCACACCCGTCTTATTTTTATTTTTATTTATTTATTTTAAAATGTTTTATCTATTATTTTTATTTTATGTGTATGAGTGTATTGCCTGAATGTATGTGAGTGCACCCCTGTCATGCAATGCCATGGAGGTCAGAAGAGTGTGTTGGATTCCCCTGGAACTGGAGTTAAGGATGGTTCATGTGGGTGCTGGGGTCCTCTGCAAGAACAGCCAGTGTTCTCAATCGCTGAGCCATCGCTCCAGCCCTAGAATATCATTCTTACTACATTACTAGGGTGTGTTTTTGCTCTTGGGCTTTTTGTTTTTGTTTTGTTTGCATATTTTGTTCACTGATATATTTTTGTAAGTGTCTTGAACAATATCTTGTTCATAATGGAGTTATGAATGTACTACGTAGCTTTAAAATGAAGAGGTATCGTGAAATCAGAGGTACCCTGGATACTTTCAAAGTTCACATCCACTAGTTCTAGACTAAAGACTTTCCTAAGTAAAGCAATTCCTTCCTAATGTTTTTGCCAGCCATCTATTCTATTCTTGACTTGGGGGAGGCTCTTGGGGAGGAGAAATCTCCTGGGAGAATACTTTGACAGTAATATGGACATAGTGGGCAGAACACAGCCACATCTTCCACCCTAGGCTAGCCACGAGGCAAACTTGCTTGGAAAGGCAATTAGAATTGCACCTCACATTGTGTTACCAATTTAGCACAGAACACCAGCTGGGCTGAGAGTGAGAAGACGAGATAAAGAAGAAAATAATGATCATAAAAGTGATTTTCAGATGGGTATGGTGGCACATGCCTTTAATCCCAGCACTTGGGAGGCAGAGGCAAGTGGATCTCTGTGAGTTCAAGGCCAGCCTGGTCTACATGATGAGTTCCAGGCTAGCCCCATTATAGGGAGACCTTGTCTCAAAAAAAAAACAAAAAAACCCAAAAAACCAGTTTACAAATGAGTGATTATTTTTTCTCCCTGTGGTTTTTTTTTTTTTTTTTTTTTTTTTTTTTTGTCTTTTTGAGACCCTGTAGCCCCACCTGGCTTGGAATTCTGGAATTCACTATGTAAACCGGGCTGGCCTGAATGCAGAGATCTGCCTGCCTCTGCCCCTGAAGCACTGGGATTAAAGGTGTGGAATACCACACCCAGTATGAGGATGATCTTTAACTATGAGAAAAAAATGAACTGAAAGCCAGTGAGTTGGTTGTAAAGGTGTTTTTTTTTCAACCAGTTGTGCTGGTTAAGGCTCTGTAGCAACTGGGGAGGTCTGATCATAGAACTAAAGGAGAATAATATTAACTTTCTACCTTGCCCAAACCTCAGATAAATTAGACTCAAATGTCTATTTACAGGCATTAACATTACAGATGGACTGCAGGCTGTAACACCATCATCTCAAGTGAAATTAGTACCCCCCATCTCTTTTTAGACAGGGTCTCATATAGCACAGGCTGGACTTGAGCTTCCTATGAGGCCAGGAATGACTATGAACTTTAAATTTTCCTGCCTCTACCTCCTGAGTGTTGAGATTGCAGGCTCGTACCATTATGCTTGGTTTGTGCGGTGCTGGGAGTCAAACCCAGGGCTTTTTACATGCTAGGCTAGCAATCTCCCATGAGCTCTGTCCCCATCCTATATGCATTGCTGTTTTAATAAGGTGGCCCATAGGTTGTGTGTATGCCTGTTTTTGTTTGAGCATGTTTGTAGTAATCAGATTAGAGATGCTACTTCTGAGTAGATCATTAAGGATTCTTCTCATCAGTGTAATTTTCAAGAGCACTCATTTAGAATGTCTATTTTCCCCCAATTGGTAGCCCAATATCTGGCATAATGCTTTAAGCACCTCTTTGCCATTGGCATTGATTGAAAACTTTAGGGATTTCTGCCAAGTTCTCGTGACCTAATCCTCTCTTTGAAAGCACAAAGCTAAAGTGTGTATTGAAATGCCTGAGTCAGCTGCTCAAGGCTACACTCCTGCTCATTTTTCTAGGATGAAAAAATCTCCCTGGTGACCTGAGGCAGCCAGCTTTACTCTCTCCACCCAGAAACAGATTTACAAAAGCATGTAGAGAAAATGCGCACACACATGCAAGTATGTCTGTTGTGCTTGATTTCAGCAGATATTGTTTGACAACATAGGGCAATAACTTCCTCTCTTCTACTGATTAGTGTTAAACTTTCCTGAGAGAGAGAGGGTCTTGCTTTGTAGCCCTGCCTGCCTGGAACTCGCTTTGTAGACCCAGCTGGCCTTGAACTCACAGAGATCTGCCTGCCTCTGCCTTCTGAGTGCTGGGATAAAGCAAGTACCACCATGCCCTAACTTCTCTATCTTTCTGAGTCAGGAAAGAAAAAAGAAAGGCACCTACTATTCTTTGAATATTCACTGTGTGGCTGGAGCTTGTGGCTGGTTAGTAATACTCTTGTTTTATAGATGAGGACCTCAGAACCATCCATCAGGTGAGGTCAGATAGCTTTGAAGCAGTGAGAATTTGATCCATGTCCCTTTCCGAAGGTGTCTCCATTGTGCTGTTGAGCTGTCAGCTGTTCATAAAACACAATTATTATTATTATTATCTTGGGGGAGGCTTTTTGAGACAGGGTCCTCCTGTAGCCCCAGCTGCCCTAAAACTTGCTATGTATACCAGGCTGGCCTTAATCTCTGTGAGATTCAGCTGCCTCTGCCTCTGCCGAGACCACCAACATTAAGAAGTGGGGGGCGGGGCAAACAAGAACTATTACTAAATAAAAAAACCAAGGGTAGTGAACAGTGAACATAATATACTATTGTGTGAAATACGTGGATGGATGGATGGATGGATAGATAAATAGACAGATATACGGGCAGACAGGCAGGCAGACAGACATATTTGTTTATTTTTACATTGTGCGTGGCATATCTAATTCCTTTCTGGAGGATCACACCGTGATTGCCTTCAGGAATGGAAATTGGGCAGCAGGGAATCTGTACTTCTATTATAAAATCTTTTACTTCTTTTGAGTTTTGTTTTATATGTATGTATACATTAATTATACCTCATCCAAAAAATCCAAAACCAGACACTTTGTGAGTACAGACAAAGTGTGAGTATATGACACCAAGTGGAAAATTCCACATCTGTCCTAGTGTGACAGAATGGAGATGCACTGACACCACTGTATAAATTGCCTTCAAGCTATATGTATAATATATGAAACAAGTGAATTTCCTATTTTGGTATCAACTCCTAAATATCTCCAATTATTATGCATATGTAAATATTCCAGATATTGAAAGGCTTCTGCTGGCAAGCAAGATAAGGGATACTCAACCTGCATTGTGTGTTCAAAAGAGAGTTTAGACCAGGTGTAGTGGTGCACGCCTTTAGTCCCAGCACTCAAAGCAAAAGCAGGCAAATCTCTGTGAATTCTCTGGTCTACATAGCAAGTTCCAGGCCATCTGGGGCTACAGGGAGACCCTGTCTCAAAAAGACCAAAAAATAAAAATAAAAATCCCCCCCAAATCAAAAGAGAGTTTAGTGGGAATAGACTGTTTTGAAAAGGCAAGTGGACCCATTGAGTTGGCTCTGTGGTTGTACGTGATTTGTTTTGGCACATTTTTCAGACCTGTTAATCATGCTTTTATAGCTCCCTCCACCCAGCTGGGATAAGCATTATCCATGCCTTACTTACTCTTTTACCTCATATTCTGGCCTAATGCCTGATTAAGTTGAATCAAGCTGAACTAGAAATATTTAAGTTAGTACAAGGAGGGGAGAACTGTGCTTTTCAGTCATTGGAAAGGTTCTCCTGTACAAGAGAGGTTTAAGTTTGTGTGGCTCCCGTAGTCTGTGAGCCACGGGTGGAAGCATGAAGGCATTTCTGATGCTAAGCACTGTCTGAAGCTCCTGAAGTGCTGAGTCTATCTCAAGGAGACTCACACCTCTTGGATTTTGTTTTTTCACTTTGTTCTGGATATTGTGTGTATATGGGTATTTTGATTTTAATTTTCATCAGAAGCAAAAATACTAACCTTCTTCTTTGATTTTTGTTCGTAGTCAAGTTCATCCGAGAAGTAACACCATATATCAAGAAGCCATCTTTAGTGTCAGATCTGCCATGGGAAGGTGCAGCTCCTCAGTCACCAAGCTTTAGTGGCAGCGAGGATTCTGGTTCTCCAAAGCACCAGAACAGCTCCAAGGACAGGAAGGTCATCCCTCTCAAAATGTGCTTTGCTGCTAGAAACCTAAGCATGCCAGATCTGGAAAACAGGTGAGCTGTACCTAACAACAATCTCATGCCTTCCACTTTACATGACTCTGCTGAGGAAATTATACAGAGAGAAAAATGGTAATCTGGGATAAGAAAGTTTTGTTTTTGTAGCTCAGGCTAGCCACAAATCCATGATCCTCCTGCCTCAGCCTCCCACATCTCTATAAGGAAATTTCTTAAGTTGTAAATAATGTTAAGAGTCAGAGATCATGGGGCTAGAGAGATGGCTCAGTGGTTAAGCGCACTGGCTGCTCTTGCAGAGGACTTAGGTTCGGTTCCCAGCACCCACACAACAGATAACAACCATTGTAACTCCAGTTCCATGGTATCCAATGCGCTTTTCTGGCCTCCATGAGCATTGTACAATGTTAAGTTACACTTAACATACATGCAGGGAAAACACTCATACACATAAGATAAAAAAATTAAAAAAAAATTTAAAGCATCATATAGCCAGGCATGGTGATGTATGTCTTTAACCCCAGCACTTAGAAGACAGAGGCAGGCAGATTTCTATGAGATCAAGGACAGCCTGGTCTATATAGCAAGTTCCAGGCCAGCCAAGGCTACAGGAAGACCCTATTTCAAAAAAACAAAACAAAAAAAAGTCAGAGATCTACATTATAGTACTGACTGTGTCAACTAGCAATATGACCAGCAAGTTAAGTTTTTGGGACCTCTATTTTTTTTTTTTTCCCTATAAAATGCAAGAAGTGGATTGTAAGAGCTGGGGTGGCAGATGACCATAAGGAAACAAAATTTTCCAGGTGTTCAGGAACTTGCTCATATGAACTTGCTTGCAGCAATGGTAACAGCATGCACAAGACCCATGCAAGCTCAAACCAGACCAAAACTCAGCATAGAAGTGGGGAAATGGGTAAGAAACCCCAACCTTAGCTGAGAAACTATTGACCTCTGGGTTAGGGAATGTTGGTTTTAAGGGAATGATGCTAGATAGGTTGACCAGGCCCCATTGGATGGCACACACCATGTGATATTTGGGGACATAAACTTGGTTTGATAGGTCTTAACATATATGACAGAATGCATGAAATCCAGTGGGAAAGCTATGGGGAGGGTGCAGTAGGGGAGGGGTCTAACTATAATCAAGATGTATTATATAAAATTCACTAAAATTCAATAAAATCAATTAGTGGAAAATTTCTATCCTTTTGGTAGAAATAAAAATTTTAAATCATGAAAAAAAATTCAATAAAAAACAATTATATGTATGTATATATTACAAAGATTTCACTGTAAGTTAGAGAATATGGGATTCATTTTTAAAATATAGTTCATATGTAACAAGCTTGTCAGGATTGTTTGAGAGATTATTTTACCTTATTTTTTTAATTCAAAAAAATTTATTAGCTGGGCATGGTGATGCATGCCTTTAATCCCAGCACCCTGGGAGGCAAAGGCAGGTGGATCTCTGTGAGTTTGAGGCCAGCCTGGTCTATATAGTGAGTTCCAGCAGCCAGGGCTACATAGTGAGACCTTGTCTCAAAAAAGGAAAAAAAAAAAAAAAATAGTTGAGGGCTTGGCAAACGACTTATTGGTTAAGAGTACTTGCTATGCACACATGAGGAGCAGAGTTCTAATCCCCAGCACCCATGTAAAAACCGGGTATGGCTACTCATGCCTGTAACCCCAGCTTTATGGGGGGCAGGTGTAGAGACAGGTCGATTTTGGGAGCTGGCTGGCCAGCCTAGCCAAAACAGCGAGCTCCAGCTTCAGTGAGAGACCCTGTCTCAAGGAAATAAGATGGAGAACAGCGGAAGAAGATGCCCAGCATTCTCCTGACATCCTCGTGCACATGTACAGGTGTATGTACCTGCATACAACACACTCATGCAAAGAGAAGACTAAATTTGTTGACTCTCAGGCCATATGAAGGATTCCTGAGATAGATGCCTTTGGTCCTGTTGTGCAACCAGATACTGGAGAAAGTGGCAAAGTATTATAGAATTTTTGTAGAGCTGAGGTTGTGGGGAAAGAAGGGAGGATGATGATATGACGACTGCATAGCTGAAAGTTGGGGGTGCATTCTGCTTGGTTCGTTTAGATGTTGGAGACGTTTGGTAATGGTCAGCTTTGAGAGAGGTACTCAGAACTAAATGCTTTTGAACTGTAAGAATTTACAGCACCATCTAAAAGATCAGGAAACGAAGGGGATCATGGGGGTGGGGAAGAGATCTTAGAGAGTAAGAAAAGAGATGTAAGGGAAGGCATGTAAAAGGAAAGCAGAAGGGGCTAAGTGGGAAAGCAAGGGAGCCAGCAGGAGGGAAAGGGGAGCAGAGGGAGGCACTGTTAAGACACATGCATGAAAATGACACAATGAAACTGTACTTGGTTTGCTGACCTAAAAAATAAACAAGGACCAGTTTTTTGGTTTTTTTTTTTAAACCTCTTTAAAAATAAAAGAAAGTAACTCCTTTGAAAACACAGTGAGTAAAAGCATGGACAGAGACAGCCCAACTTTCAGCTTAGCAAAGGTGGAAACACTGGGTAATATTTTGTGCTGGTAAGAAAACAATTGAACTACACCCTTCTCTCCAGTAAGAGGATCAGTGTGCTGCCACAGACAGGTCTCTGAAGGTCCAGGCTAGTATAGAGACCCCAGTCTTAATACTGACTTACTTGAATGCTTTTACTTGAATTACCAAGGTTGTTTCTACAAGGATAACACTCTAACTTGCACTCCAGTGTGCTTCGTAGAGAAGAGAAAATCAGTAGAATTATAAGTAGTTGGCAGGAATTATACATACCTTTGCTTATGTTTACCAGGATGTGAACATCTGTCCTATGCGTGTTGGCAGAAACTAACATATAAAACCACTGACTAAGCAGACTTCAGTTAGAATGTATAATTTTCTGCCATGTCTTCTGTCTGTAAAATGAAAGTCATACCTGCCTATTCAACTGGGGACTTTAGAACTACTTCAAGAAAGCTGCAGAGATGGCTCTGTGGGCAAAGTTTTTGCTGCACAAGCAGGAAGACCTGAGATCCTCCGATCCCCAGCTCCTATGTAAAAAGCCAGATGTGGTGGCATGCCCTGTCATCTCAGTGCTAGGAGGTAGAGACAGGAGGATCCTGGGGGCTTACTGACCAGTCAGTCTGGCCAATCAGGGAGCTCTGGGTACAGTAAGAATAGGGTGGAGGAAGATACCCCCTTGGCCATACACACAGATATACACACGCATATACCACAAGAACACACAGAGGAAGAACTGTGTTATCAAGGATAAATGGGACAGTATCTGTAAGCTCACTTCAGGCTCTTTAGTCCTTAAATTTATCTCATCCCTGTCAAAAGACATGCCAGCTTATTTGTGTCCTGTAGATGGTCACCTGAGTGATTTCCAGGTGGAGCTAGTTATAATGACTATTTTTGTATGAATCTTTTTGGTCATAGGTTTTCATTTCACTTTAGTAAATTTGGAGTGGATTTGCTATGTCAAATGGTAGGTGTCTGGCTCTAAAAGAAGCTTCCAGACATTCTTCCAAAATGACTTGCTATTTTCTGCTAACACCAACAATAGCCAACAGTGTGTAAGTTTCCACTGTTCCACATTCTCGCCAACACTGTGGGAATCAGTGCTGTTAGTATTAACCATTCTGATAGGTATGCAGTAGAATCTCTATGGTTCATTCTTCATTTTTACTTTTTTATGTAATGGCTTCACGTTCTATACTTTTCTGAGACAAGGTATATAGCCCTAGCTAACCTGGAACTTACGTGGAGAGATCCTTTTGCCTCTGCCTCACAAGTGCGGGAATTAAAGGCATATGCTGCTGCTTCCTAGACTAAAAACTTGCTTTATAGTAACATTCTGTTATTACTGTTATTTTACTGCTTTGATTTGGTTCTGCAACATAGAGCTAGAGAAAAAAGTGCCAGCTATCAGAAGGAATAAGTGAGGAAATTTACTCCCTTCACCTATCCTGGGTTTTTATTCTGTTACTAGATGCTTCTGATCATTAGAAGTGTTTCGTTTTGTTTTGGTTTTGGTCTTTTTTGAAACACGTCTCCCTGAAGCCCTAGCAGTCCTGGAACTCACTATGTAGACCAAGTTGACCTTGAACTCACAGAGATCCGCCTGCCTCTGCCTCCTAAGTGCTGGAACTACTGGCACGCGTCACCACGCCCCGCTAGAAGTGTTTTGTTTTGAACCATGAAAACTAAATAGTTAAAGATGAAGTCCCGAGAGAGAACACAAGCCCATTCCTTAGCAAGTAGCATTGCGGTCTGTATGAAGTAGACCGAGCTGCTTTTCCAGCCAGCAGTGGTGGGGCATGCCTGCAATTCTAGCACTTCAGAGGCAGAGGCTGGAGAATTTCCTCAAATTCAAGCTCCAGGCCAGCCAGGGCTACACAGTGAGGCTCTGTCTCAAACAAAACAAAATACTGCTTTTTGGAATTGTGAATCTGTCCTTTGCACTGACTCACAGTACCTCATCTTTGTGCTGACTATTGTCCATGTAAAGGGTAAATTTATGACATAAAATCATATGATTAGGGGCTAGAGAGATGGCTCAGCGGTTAAGAACACTGGCTGTTCTTCCAGGGGACCCAGGTTCTATTCCTAGCACATGGCAGCTAACAACCATCAGTAACTCCAGTTCCAGGGGATCTGACGCCCTTTTCTGGTCTCTGAGGACTTTACACGATGCAGGTGCACCTGTATACATGGAAGCAAACCACTCATACATATAAAAATAAATGAATTTTTTTGAAGGGGAGTGTCTTTTTGAGACCTGCCTCTGCCTCCTGAGTGCTGGGATTAAAGGTGTGCGCCACCACACCCGGCACAAATAAATTTAAAAAAAAAAAATCCCATATGGGGGGCTGGAGAGATGGCTCAGCGGTTAGGAACACTGGTTGTTCTTGCAGAAGACCTGGGTTTGAATCCCAGCACCCGCATGGCAGCTAACAACTGTCTGTAACCCCAGTTCCAGGGGATCTGATGACCTCCTCTGTCCTCCTCGGGTATTGCGTGACATGGGTGCACTTACCTACATGCATACAATACATTCATACACATAAAATTTAAAAAGGGGGGGGCGCTGGAGAGATGGCCCAGTGGTTAAGAGCACTGACTGCTCTTACAGAGGACCCACATTTGATTCCCAGCACCCACATGGCAGCTACAAACTGTCCTTAACGCCAGTTCCAGGGAAATCCAAAGCCCTCTTCTGACCTCCGCGGGATTGCATGGACATGGGTGCACTCTTATACATGCAGGCAATACCCTCATACACACACACACACACACACACACACACACACAAAAAAAAAAAAACAAGTGTTTAACATTCTTAGTCCTAAAAAAAAAAAAATTCACGTGAGGAACCGCAGAGATGGCTCAGTGTTTAAGAACACTGGCTATTCTTGCAGAAGACCCAGGTTTGAATCCCAGCACATGGCAGCTAACAACTGTCTGTAACCCCAGTCCCAGGGGATCCGACAGCCTCTCCTGACCTCCGCGGGCATTGCATGACATGGGTGCACTTATCTACATGCAGACAATACATGTATGCACATAAAGTAAAAGTAATAAATAAACTTTTTTAAATCACATGATTATTACTTAATTGAACTCAAGTTATGTCAGAGATTTAACCAAGCAGAAAAAGTAATGTAGGCTGGACTCCTAATCCCAGGCTTCTGTGTATCTAAATATTGATTTGACTTGTCTGATCACAAAGGAATTAAATTTCTTGGGAAAAATCCTCAGCAATTTGACTAGAGTCCAAAACTTTTCACATTGTAGCTACCTCCTCTTCTCCTGGGCTCGATGACTAGCAGACTGCCTCCATGTTTGCTGTTAGCAGAGTTTTCATTTGAATTTTTCTTTTAAAATGGTAGATTTCAAGCATTACTCTGTTGCCGTGACTAGTTTTGTGGGCTCATACAAGACAGACTCTTCTGGATTTTGGGAGTTTCTTTCTTGTTTTATTTAGTTGATTCACTTTTCTATTTCACAGTCCCTTTCCAAGAAACTGCAAAATTTCTTTTTATAAAAATTGGTGAGCCTGCCCTACAGAATAACTTCCTGCCTATTTTCATCACATCTGAGTCCTGGCATCCACTCCTGCTTCATTAGGCTGTTTTTTTTTTTTTTTAATGTTTTATTTATTTTTATTTTATGTAATTTTATGTAATGAGTGTTATGCCTCCATGTAGGTAAGTGCACCCATGTTGTGCAATGCCCTAGGAAGACAGAAGAGGCCGTCAGATCCCCTGGAACTGGAGTTACGGACAGTTGTTAGCTGCCATGTGGGTGCTGGGATTTGAACCCAGGTCTTCTGTAAGAACAGTCAGTGTTCTTAACCACTGAGCTATCTCTCCAGCCTCTGGGTTTGTTTTTTTTAAATCATTGTCTCTAACACTAGTACAGTATTTTCCCACTTAGCCTTTCTTTTTTTTTTTTTTTTTGAGACAGGGTCTCCCTGTAGCCCCAGCTGGCCTGGACTTCACTTTGTAGACCAGAGTGGCCTGGCACTCACAGAGATCCACCTGCCTCTGCCTCCTGAGTGCTGGGATTTCAGGAATGCACCACCACACCCAGCTCATATTTAACCTTTCTTTCTTTCTTTCTTTTTTTTTTTTTTTCGGTCTTTTTGAGACAGGGTCTTCCTATAGTCCCAGCTGACCTGGAACCTGCTGTGTAGACCAGGCTGGCCTTGAACTCAGAGATCCTCTAGCCTCTACCTCCTGAGTGCTGGGATTAAAGGCCTGTGCCACCACAGCTGGCTTATTGTAAAGAATTTTAAAACATGGCAAAAGAAGGACTGGAGAGATGGCTTAGTGGTTAACAGAGCACTTGCTGCTCTTGCAGAGGATCTGAGTTCAATACCATTTGCTGTTCTTGAAGAGGACCTGAGTTCGATACCATTTGCTGCTCTTGCAGAGGACCTGAGTTTAATACCAACACACATTTCACATGGTTCACAACCACTTATAATGCCAGTTTGAGGGGATCTGATGCTCTCTTCTAGTTTCCTTGGGTACCTGCATGTACAGGATACATACATACAGTCAGGCACACTCAGAAGCACATGAAACAAAAATGAATTCATCTTTTAAAAATTAGCAAGACAGAAATGCTGGTGTGCATATAAATTGCCGATCTGTTACAAGTGGCACAGAAGCTGGTGACCGTGTGGTAGACAGTGAGAGCTGTCTACAGAATATGAAGCTCTCACTAGCAATTTGTCCATCCTAGCCTACCAGAGGAGATACATTTAATGGCTTTATCTTTACCATTTGGAAAGATACATGTCTTTACTACAACATAGCAGTATATATATATCTTAGTCATTTACTTATTTGACTCATCTTGGTGAGACCTTTGTTGGAAACAACTAACAGTATCCCCAAAATTGCTTCATGAGGATCTTAGTGTGCATTTTAAAATACAGCTAATTTCTAAAGGTTATTTTTGAAATCTGTATTGTTCTCAGCTGAGCATAATATGGAACCTACATAGTGTACACAATCTTTTAAATATTTTTCTGCCAGAACTCAGTGGGCGATTTCATCATACAAAGTTACAGTTCTGGCTGGGCGTGATGGTGCACGCCTTTAATCCCAGCACTCGGGAGGCAGAGGCAGGTGGATCTCTGAGTTTGAGGCCAGCCTGATCTATATAGCAAGTTCCAGGTCAGCTGGAGCTACAGGGAGACCTTGTCTCCAAAAAAAAAAAAAAAAAAAAAAAAAAATGTTACAGTTCTAATATTTCATAAAGAATAATATTCACAAAGAAGTAATATTCTTCTGCTAATTTCTTTTTTTATTATTTCAAATAGTATATTTTTCAGTTATTGGTCAGGTTTTTTTAATGACTTACACCAGAATTACAGTTTTTTAAATTTTTTTCTTTTTGGTCTTTTTTTTTGTCTTTTGGAAACAGGATCTCCCTGTAGCCCCAGCTGGCCTGGATTCATTGTGTAGACCAGGCTGGCCTGGAACTTGCTATATAGATCAGGCTGTCCTGGAATGCACAAAGATCTGCCTGCCTCTGCCTCCTGAGTGCCACCACGCCTGGGTTTTTTTTTAAGTTTTTTATTTTATTTTACTTTTTTATTTTTATGTGTGTGTATTGCCTGCATGTAGGTGAGTGCACCTGTGTGGTGCAATGCCCGCAGAGGACAGAAGAGGCTGTTGGAGCCCCTGGAACTGGAATTACAGATGGTTGTTAGTTGACATGTGGGTGCTGGGATTTGAACCCAGGTCTTCTGCAAGAACAGCTAGTGTTAACTGCTAAGCCATTTCTCCAGCCCAGCTTTTAAAATTTTTTAAAAAACATATTTATGGGGACTAGAGAGATGGCTCAGCACTGCTTGCTCTTGCAGAGGACCGGGGTTTGAATCCCAGCATCCATATGGCAGCTAGCGACTGTCCATAGCTCCAGTTCCAGGGAATCTGACACCCTATTCTGACCTCCTTGGCCCATTGTATGACATGGGTGCACTTACATACATGCAGGCGAAACAGTCATACATGTAAAATAAAAATAATAAATAGGCTGGGCGTGGTGGTGCACGCCTTTAATCCCAGCAGAGGCAGGTGGATCTCTGTGAGTTTGAGGCCAGCCTGGTCTCCATAGTGAGTTCCAGGCCAGCTGGGGCTACAGGGAGACCCTGTCTCAAAAAGACAAAAAAAAAAAAAAATCAGATTTCTTTAGCTATGTGTGGTAGCACTCCTTTGTAATCTCAGCAGTTGGGAGGTGAAATCAGGAGGATCAGGAGCTCAAGGATATGTGAGACTCTGCCCCCCCCCCCCAAATATATATCAGTTTCTGATTTGCAGCATGCCTGTGGTGTTCAACAAGCATTCATCCTGTCTCTTTGACATGGAAATTAAGTCAAAGTGAAGTGTTTCCCTACAGACCATCCCAGGGGCATAGTGCAGCAACCCAGCAGCTGGTCCCGGTGATCATTCTTCCATATGTGTTTTCTTTGGAATTGGATTCTGGGGATTAAAAGAGAGTGTCTGTATTTGAAAAATACAAAATTGAAATAGATTTGTAGTTATGACTGTTAACTCTGGTTGGTGTGATGACTTCTAACCTAACTTTTTCTTTCTTTCTCCACACAGATTGATAGAGCTGCATTCTCCTGATAGCAGGAACACCTTGATCTTACGCTGCAAGGATACAGCCACAGCGCACTCCTGGTTTGTAGCTATCCACACCAACATAATGGCTCTCCTCCCACAGGTGTTGGCTGAACTCAATGCCATGCTTGGTGCAACGAGTACAGCAGGAGGCAGCAAGGAAGTCAAGCATATTGCATGGCTGGCAGAGCAGGTGGGTGAAGGCAGAACAAGGGTTTCACTCATCCCCACTCAAAGCCAAACTGCACTCCCATTCCATGTACCTGTTCTATTTATATCCGTCTACATAATACATGTCACCCAGTTCCTGGGCATCGCGTTGCAACTCTTTTTTCTCCTCCCTTACTTCCTTTCTACTCAGTAACTCACTAGCAGAATCACCATAACAGCACAACTAAAAAGAGTTTCATTTTACTATTACTATATCTCTAATAGCATAGGGTGATTTTTATGATTCAAGACTAGGGTCAAGGACTGGAGAGATGGCTCAGCAGTTAAGAGTGCTTGCTGTATAGTCATCAGGATTGGAGTTTGGATTCCAGCAACCACATAACATGTGCAAATGCCTATAATTCCAGCTCCAAGGAGTCCAATGCCCTCTTCTGGCCTCCATATGCACGCACACATACCCATACACATACTCTTATGTAGGCATATATAGAGAGAAATTAAATAAATAAAATATTCTTTAATTTTTAAATTTTATGTGTATGCATATATTGCCTGCATGTACGTAAGTGCACCATATGTGTGTAATGGTCTGTGGAGGTCAGAAGAGGGCCTTGGATCCCCTGGAACTGGAGACAGTTGTTAGCCATCATGTGGGTGCTGGGATTTGAACCTGGGTCCTCTGCAAGAGCAGCCAGTGCTCTTAACTGCTGAGCCATCTTTCCAGTCCCTCAGTTAAAACTTGATAGAAAAGCAGGTGGTAGAGTGAATTGCACCCAAAGGTATTTTCTCCACCATTTTAGTGGCCTGTTGGCAGAGTTCTCAAGGGCAACCAACTCTAGTTTACTTCACTGCTTGGGAACAACTTAAAATACAGGGTTGGAACAAAACTCAGTGGTAGAGCTCTTATCCAAAATTAAAAGAACCAAGAGAGTCTTAAGTGGACCAAGGGGAGAACTGAGGACTGCAAGTTCTTCTAGACCCCAAGTTTGACACCATGGAGAAACGGTTCCCATGTGACCCCAGATCGCATCCTTAACTGTTAGCTGGGACAGCAGGAGTTGGAATGAAGACTGACCTTGAGTTCAGAGATGAGTGGTCAGTGCTAGCTCTGTCCTCCCCTTGTTTAGGTCCTTTTAATCCCCCTTCAACACTGAATCCGAGTTCACCTGTGTGGAGAGGATTGAGAATGGACTGGACCTTTGGCTTGCCAACATGTCAGAGTCATGCAGGAAGGCCTCTTCCTTTGTTTCTGGTTTTCTTTCTAGAGTTTTCCAGGCCTGACTCCAGCAGACTTCTAATTCTTTTCTCAAATTGAGGTTGATTTGATTTAGAAATTATATTGTCCCCAACAAAGTTCTGATTTGGTAGATGTATGGTTAGGCCTATTAGTCTTGTTTGGTAGCTCAGGGGAATTGTGCTACAGTGCCAGGTTTGGATGCCAATAATTAAACTGACTTTCTTCCTTCCTTTCTTTTTCTTCCTTTTCTTTCTTTCTTTCTTTCTTTCTTTCTTTCTTTCTTTCTTTCTTTCTTTCTTTCTCTTTTTCTCTCTCTCTCTCTCTCTCTCTCTTTCTTTCTTTCTTTCTCTCTCTCTCTCTTTCTTTCTTTCTTTCCTCTCTCTCTCTCTCTGTCTCTCTCGCTCTCTGTCTCTCTCTTTTTTATTTGTTAACTTACGGACTATTTTGTGGGTGTGGGTGTGTGCATGCTATGGGACTTATGTGGAGGACAACTTGCAGGGGCCAGTTTGCTCCGTTCATCATGTCTGAGTGGGTTCTGAGTATCAAACTCGGGTTTTCAGGCTTGGTGGTGAGCACCATTATCTCCTGAGCTATATTACCAGCCCTATTTCTGAAATTTTTTTTTTCCCTTGGTCTTTTTGAGAGTGAGTCCCCCTATAGCCCCAACTGGCCTGGAACTCGCTATGTAGACCAAGCTGGGCTTGAATTCACAGAGCTCTGCCTGCCTCTGCCTCCTAAGTGCTGGGATTAAAGGCATGTGCCACCATGCCTGGCTACTTCTGAAAAATTTTAAATTTTATTTAAATAGTGGCTGAAGAGATGGCTCAGCAGTTAAGAGCACTGACTCCTCTTACAGAGAACCCAGGTTTGGTTCCCACATCTACATGGTGGCCAACAACCATCCAAAATTCCAGCTCCAGGGGATCCAACACCCTCTTTAAAAAACTTTTTTAGCCGAGCATGGTGGCACATGCCTTTAATCTCAGCACTTGTGAGGCAGAGGCAAGTGAATCTTCATGAGCCTGGCTTACATAGTGGATTCCAGGCAAGCTGTGGTTACAAAAAAAGACCAAATAAGATATAATAGAATTTTAAAAAATTAAAAACTTTAAAGGATTAGTTAGGAGGCTGGAGACATGGCTCAACGGTTTAGAGCACTTGCCATTCTTGCAGAGGACCTGAGTTCAGATTCCAACATCTATATGGCAGCTCACAACCATCTATAACTCCAGTTCCAGGGGATCTAACATTCTCTTCTGGTCTTCATGGGCACTGCATGCATGTGGTATACTTACATACCTGCAGGCAAAACATTAATACACATAAAATAAAAGTAAATAAATCTTTTTATTATTTTATTTCTTATTTTTATTTTATGTGTATGTGTGTATTGCCTATATGTAGTTAAATGCACCCGTGTCGTGCAATGCCTGCAGAGGTCAGAAGAGACTGTTGGATCCCCTGGAACTGGAGTTTTGGACAGTTGTTAGCTGCCATGTGGGTGCTGGGATTTGAACCCAGGTCTTCTGCCAAGAACAACTAGTGTTCTTAACTGCTGAGCCATCTCTCCAGCCCCAAATAAATCTTTTTTTAAAAAGAGAGAGATAGATTAGGTGATACAAGATATGACTCAGTGGGCAAAGGTTTTTGCCACTAAGCCTGATGACCTGGATTCCCCAGAATCCATGTGGAAGGAGAGAACTGACCTCCCTCAAATTGTCTTCTGATCTCTATGTATACACATACTCACATGCACATGTTAAATACAGAAATGTAAGAAAAAAAGTTTTTAAAAACAGACTAAAGACCGGATGCAGTACATGCCTAGAACCCGAGAACTTGGGGAAATAAGAGACTTGCCACAAGTTTGAAGCCAACCTGGTCTGCATAATGAGTTCTAGGCCTACATGTCAAGACCCCAGGAGAGGGGCTAGAGAGATGGCTCAGCAGTTAAGAGCATTGGCTGCTCTTGCTGAAGACCCAGGTTTGAATCCCAACATCCACATGGCAGCTAACAACTGTCTGTAACTCCTGTTCCAGGGGATCTGATGCCCTCTTCTGACCTCCTCAGGCACTGCATGACAGGGGTGCACCTATGTACATGCAGGCAATACACTCATACACATAAAATAAAAATAATAAATAAAATTTGTTTTTATAAAAGACCCTAGAAGAGAGACAGAGACAGAGGAGAGAGATTCATAGGATTATGGGGTTTAGGAAATGAGTAATAATAGTATTTTCCAATGTTTAGTTTTGTCCAACTGTTTATTAGAAAATAGAATTTGGAGAAGACTCTTTGGCCAGGTATGTTTATGTGTGGGTGTTGAAATACAAGCAAACTAGAACCCTAACATTAGTATCTCTTTTTTCTCCAGCCAAAAACTTAGTAATGGAGCCCCAAGGCTGTTTGTGCTGATACAACTGAAAACATACTATATATAGCAGGCAGCATTAGACTCTACTGAAAACAAGCACTATCCTTAAAATTTAAGGCAAATGGACAAACCAAATCACTACAACCGAGGAGCCCCCCCCCCCCCATAGTAAGATGAAGATGTTCTTTAAAAACTAAGGACTTGAGCTGGCAAGATGACCCATTAGGTAAAAGTACTTGCTGTGCAAACCCCATGGCCACAATGGAAGGAGAAAACTTGACTCCCTAAAGTTATCCTTTGACTTTCACCTGTGCACCATGGCATACATGCACCCCTGTGAGCATGCGCACACACACACACACACACACACACACACACACACACACACACACACACACAAATAATAGTAATAATAATTTTAAAAAAAAAAAAAAGGAAAGAAAGAAATTGGGGGTTGGAGTGATGGCTCAGTGATTAAGAGCTCTGCTGGGTTCAGTTCCCAGCACCCATATGGTGGCTAGCAACCATCCCTGAGTCCAGTTCCAGAGGATCCAGTTCCCTCTTCTGGGCTCTGCAAGGCATACGAGTGCATTTACATACAGGTAGGCAAAACACTCATACACGTAAAAAATTTTAAATTATTTTTAAAAAATGAACTTGAATCGGGGTATCATGACAAGGGTCTATAATTTCAGAACTCAGGAGGTGGAGGCAGGAGGATCAGGAGTTCAAGGACAGCCTCTAGTACACAATGAGTTCCAGGCCTGCCTAGAACGCTAGGGACCTGGGGCTAGAGATATAGGTCAGTTGGTAGGTTGCTTGCCTAGTATACATGAAGTCCTACATTGCATCCCTAGCATTTGCATGGTGGTATTCACCTATAATCTTGTATCTGGTGGTTGAAGAAGGAGGATCAGGAAGTTTTGAGGCCACCCTAGCTATATGAGACCCTGTCTCCTAACAAATAAATAAATAGACTTAAAGGAGTCAAAGAATCAACATTTTTTTTAACAAATTGTTAATTAAACTATTTTTCTCTCCTCTATAAATTGGACATTGCTTCTATTGCTAGAAGCATTTTTCCTAGAGGTCCAAAACATATTCTTTGGAAAGAAGTAAATTTAAGTTGGATTTTCCAAATATATATAATTTGGGATAGCTCCAGAATCTCTCTTATAATTTAAGGGAAATTTTTAAAAACTGCTGGGCGTAGTGGTACATACCTTTATTCCCAGCATTCAGGAGGCAGAGGCAGGCGAATCTCTGAGTTCAAGGCCAGCCTGGTCTACATAGTGAGTTCCAGGCCAGCTAGGGCTACAGGAAAACCCTGTCTCAAAAAAAAAAAAAAAAAAAAGGTTATTGGGGTCAGGATGTACTGCAATTGATAGAATGCTTGCTTAGCATGCC